TTCTCTCTCTTCATCAGTTGGTTTCTACCCAAAGATCTGCTGTCGACTGGATATTTATGGTGGGTGGCTTGTGCACAACATCTGCAGCTGTTCATTTTTTCCACAAACACGTCATACAATTTGTCAAAGCCAGGCACACATCTCCACAAGAAATATATCAAGGCCTTAAAGGGGAATTATACAGTGGTGGTAATAAGAACCAGGGGCAAAGATGTCATCAATACAAATATAGTCATTTTATTTACTATCCAAAAGCACCAATATCTTCTGAGTTTTCATACGTAGTTGTAGATGGTGAAATAGTAAATAAGAAACAAACTAGTTTTCTTTGGTGATATCTTTATAACGCCCTGCATATATCCCTCTGCCAAAAATTAATTTTACCCAATCATAAAACAATGTCTCAGGCTTTGTATTCATAACCATTTCATACAATATCTTTCTATGAGGTATCTTTTGAGGCATTAAATGCTTCAGACGTCTGGTTCCTATAACCACCAAATTAAACTATAAGACAGCAACACAGAATGGCATCTGAACAGATGTGCAGGTGTATAAGCATGGTGTGGCAGAGAGAGAGAGAGATTATGAATTTCAGTAAAAACTTCATTGCAAAGTATATACAGGGAGATTCACTGTATAATAGGACCTGCTGTAAAACGGCAGAGCTGGCAACAATGTAATTGTTTCCCCAGCCAGGAACTGCAAACTTACTTTCTATGCTGCTTAAAATGTTTTATTTTCGAGACAAAACATCACCACTATTATACCCAAGAATTTTGAGTGTCCCTACATTTTGTCAGAAACAGAAGGCACAAGCAGAATGTCACCACTTTCTTGCATCGCACACCCATCACCAGCAAATCTGTATCATACAGTCTGACCTGCATCATAACTGAAGTTGCATACAGAATTTGCCAAAGAAGTTTTTTTTTTTTAGCATCTTGTGCAGTGTGACATGCAATAAATGTATGAGACCACTGTTACTGCACAGTCTACAGTGAGCTTAAAAAAAATTTAAGGATTTGTGGGAACTCTCAGTGTCGCCACACGTTCAGGTGGTGTACTGTGGCACACAATTCCTGACAACATTAACCATTATGGGGAATTCAGCTCTCAATTGTCTTTGACCGTGTCTAATAATCCCACCCATACAATACTATCTTCAATCAGCCGTGGGTTGGGAGCACAACAGAACATCAATGCATTTGACACAATCTCCTGAGTCTACATTTGATCCAGTAACCTCCAAGACTAAGTCTGCATCCCTGCTGTACACTGCAACACAGTAATCAGCACCTTAGAGCACTAATCCACAGAACTGCTGTTCCTCTAACAAAAAATCTCAGACGTAAAACACTGCCTGGAAACTGCCCATCTTTCTGGATCATCGGAAAAGCATGCATGCTCTCAGATGGTCTGTTCATTTTTATGGTAAACTGGCACAGCCGATGACCACAGGAAGAGGAAGAACAGGCCCAGGGATGGACAGCCTCCAGCCTTCTGCACAGTAAGTCACTGGAGGGGAAGGTAACTAACATATGTCACCATATTTAGCAGGGTTTTCAGTTATGAAGCCATTTCATGGGAAAGGTTCTTCTACAGCAAAAAAGAAAAAGCATCTAAATAAAACTGACACTGTAATGTTGAGCCACAGACTATATAATCTCTGTTTTCGGTCTTGGCATTGCATTGCATCATAGTGTCCCAAATTGCACCACTGTGTTAGGCAGGTCTTTGCTTTGTTCATCATTAGCAAGTGAGTGACGAGCATACTAATGACTCAAAGATCAGACTAACAATATTCACAGTATGAATGAATCAGTGATATTCTAGTACAAGGGTATTCAGCTCCAGTCCTGAAGGGACAGTCTGATGATTTTTTATGCTCAAAAATATCTAAATTCAACTCATCAGTTAATTACCAGCTTTAGTGGGTGTGTCTGAGTAGGGCAATCACCAAACTGTGGTGGACTGGTATTTTCTAGGGCTGCAATTACTAATTATTGCATTTAACTGTAAATATTCTATTAAATATTATTTTGAATATCTAAATACCCCACATCAGCTTTAAGTTAGTGCCCAGTGCAGTCTCAATCACTTTCCTACAGTTCAAAAGTAGCTAGTTTGCAGGTGTTTGTTTGTTCTCTGTAATAAACTGAGAATTTGCTAGCTGAAAAAACAATTCAGAGAACTAGGAGACTTACTTGGACGACACCTGGAGTTAAAGGCAATGCAGTCTCCTGAAACTGAGGTATGCAGACCTGGCAACCGCGTGCTACTGGTGGGCAGGGTTTCATAAAAGTGGTAAACATGCTGCTTATTTGCATGGCTTCCTGTTTTCAAGCAGCTTAATTATGGAACTTACTGAATATTAGCAAATATTTGTAGCAGCCCTAGGATTCTCCAAATCTTTTCAAGGCACTATCTATAAAATAATGCTAAAAAATTGTTTTTTTTGCTGGAGTCCAGGTGAAAAAAAAAATCAGGTGTTATAAAAATGTGTTATGAAATGAATATGGTTATAGGCCGCATTGCTCACCTCTAATTAGGCCTTGAAGATGAATCTTTTTTACACTGAAACAGTAATTTGAAAGCATGCAATTTTTAATTCACAGCCTACACAAATTTTAAGTGGAGAAATTTAACCTAATAACACAGAACCAGTGAACCACCTGTTGATGAGTTGGAACCATCAGAAGCTCTTTTTGGCCAAAAACAACAGACCTTGACCTCCATTTATATAAAATCATTACGGACAGAGAAAACATCGCTGTTGTCGGAACCTTGTACCTCCAAAATGGTAACTTTACAGGAGAAGGAAAAAAAACATGCTTTACTTTTAATGTAAGTCAATGGAACCAGACTTTTTTCCCCCCAAGTCATTTTGGGCCATTTCATTTGACCCATTCATCATGAAATTTTGATACAATGTAAAGGCCAACAGGCATTTTCATATGTCAAAAACTGAAAAACAACGAAAATAAAGATAGGAGGGTATGAGATACGATATATAAGACAACAATACAGTGAAGCACAAACGTTTTTTGCATTTTTGCGACTAAGTATGTTAGGTCATACTTTGCTACTCCAAAACTTGAGTATGTTGCCAAGGACGTGTTGTTAAAGACATGGCTGAGAAGACAGAGACAGTATAACTGTATCTTGAACTAGGCTAACTATTCTAACTGACCTTCGCTAGGACCAGAAACACTGGAAATATAGTTCTGTGACAGAACACATTGGCGCATCGTCCACTAAGGACAAAATAATGTGAAACTGGTTAGCTAAGTTAGTTCATTAGCTTATCTGAAGTGGAGGCCACCGATACTAATCTAATATGAAAACCTGCTGATTTCCCTTGACTGTTCTTGAGGAATATTACATGATTCTACTGTAATTCTCTGTGTGCTGCTATTTTTTTCATGCGACACCAGTGGTATCACCTAAAAAGGTGAGCCTTGAGCCCTACATTATTTTTTATTGAACCAGATATCCGATCAACTTTTACACATACTATAATATCAAAACTAGTCAGAATGCACATCCCTAAAAATCACCCAAACCTGTCAGCCCTACCTCTAATGCACCAATTCTTTATTTCAGCAGCAACATGTTTTTATTAACAGTGTTCTGCTTTCATAAATGCAAGAGGATAAAGATGAAGACGAGCGGAGATACAAACGCACGGCCGTTTTGTTAAAGCCTGTGAAAGTAAAACACGATTCACTGTCACTGAGTAAGGGGCGCTTTTGACAATTCCTTATATAACCCCCATGAGCAGCAACACATATACATACACACTACACCAATTTGTTTTTTACTCATACTCTTCTGCTGCGAGTCTGGCAGTAGGGCAGTCCTGCCACATCCTGCCAGTGTGAAATGGCTCAATTTTCCTCTGGGTGATAAAAGGACAAGACCACTGGCATCTGACAGCTGGCGAGTTAGTTGGCTGTCAACAATCCGGGACAAAAATGATGAGCTAAAAAGTCAAAGGGGAACTGTAGCGTGTGTGTCCGTGTGTCTGTCTGGTATGTGTGTGTGTGTGTGTGTGTGTCTGAGGACATTCAAAGGTCTGCCAAATGCCAATATGTCCATCTTACTTATAATCCACCTCTGTAGCTCAAGATCACTTAAACACTGCACTAGCAGAAGGCTAAGCTAGTCAAGCTTGGCTCTGTATCAGCGTTATACAGCTTTGAGTATTTGGCATGCAGTATTCATGGCTTTCCCAACACAGTAAAGGCTGCGTATTGTGCAGGACAACCAGTTAGAAGTGAGCAGGCAATACCGACGTCTCTCAGTGAAAAAAAGCCTTTGAAGCGTCGTCAGACGGTTCTCAATGATTAAGGGGATTTGACGGAAATTTTAATTAAATACTCAGCCAGTGCTGTGAACAATGTCTCAGAAATACAGAGGATGTCTTCAACCCATTTTTCAATGTGCAGAGAATAAAGGAGTGGGGAGCTACAGAAGCAGCCCAAAAACAGCAACTAACCACTGAAAATGCAAACTACCACTGTTAATTTCTCTCTCATCATCAGGGGTCAACACTGCCTACTGCCCGGTGCGCTGGCCGCAACATTTTCCATTTCCATTAAAAAAAGCAGACCCTGTGGCTTGTGTGACCGCTTGCTATGCTAACAACAAAAATAAGTGGATAACTATGATGAACACAAAAAAGGAATTAGAAAATATAAAAATGTATTCATTAAGTATGATTTTGAGAAAGATCTGATGTTCCATCAAGCATTTTGTCAGTTTTCATAACAATCATATACCACAAATTCATTCTTTATAGAAACTAAAATAGAAAGCAAAATATTCAAAATCACGGCCTAAATTTCAACACAAGCGCTGTTCTAGCGCAATGATCTGCAGCAATCCCAATAACAAACCCACAAAATAAAATCAAAGCCTGGTGAAGGTGGAGGTGGGTATCTATTGATATAAAGGAAAAAAAAAATTAACTCACACAAAAGCAACACCTGACTTACCTCCACAAATATGAAGCATGGTATAATGGAGTAGCTACGTTGTGTGTTGTCTGATGCCATTTCCACAACTCGGTCACAGTCCCGTCGTTGACAGTCTGAAGAACAGAAAAGTAAAAAGTAGTTAAACTAGAGCTGAGGGTAGTGATAAATATTTCAGTATCTTCCAAATCTAGCATGCACTTTATGTCTAGAAGCATCCAGACACTCTTTCTAATTAGGTAATTCAGCTACTTTAAAGTGCAGGCATTCAGTTACACCCACACAGTTTGTATAATCTCCTTAGAAAAGCACTGCCAATTGAATGGGAAGTGTATAAACCACCCAGCACTGGGCTGTGGAGCAGTAGAACGAAGTTTACTGGACTTTCAGGACTTTGGAGTAGTTTGTTGTAGCACTTATTATCCAGAACTAATCATCATTTTGTTCTGCTTTGGGTAAAATTACACCAGAGAGAACCTGAATCAGTATTGTAAATATTGCTCAGCCAGAAAGCAGATTTCCAGAAAGGACACATCCTTTTAGTTTTGTGTAATTTAAACAGATTTTTAAAAAAAAAAACAATCGCAAGCAGCCAGCAAATAATACAAACTGTCATTTATGTTTTCATTATTAACCAGTACTAAAACTAAAACTTAATGAGTGAAAGTCAGTCAACGTGTTAATGTGACAGACTATTAACTTTACTAGTTTGACCCTACGTTCCAGTCTTTATGTTGCTATGACTTCACGACTGTAGCTCTCCATTGTGTTTCCTGCTACTGTCATGCCGTGAATTTGTCTATCACAAAAGTACATTGAGTTCAAAATATCATTTATAGGCAAAACATACCACTGATGCAGACAATACCAGTAATGGTAGTAACATTAAAAACGGAGGACTCCTTTGGCAGACTGGACAGTGCTCCCAGGAGAACCATGTATAAATCAAAGAAAAGCAACATTAAAGTCAAAAGCTATGGTTCCCCAAAAAACAAGACAGAACATGCGGGATGAAAGCAACAGAGCTACGATCACGAAGGAGTTGCAACATACAGCCACTGTTGCTCTCACCAGAAGTTGGTGACAATAATTTAAAACTGTGTTCTCTCTATTTTCATGTTCGTCCCGCGTGCATGTGATTTTATGTACAGTATCAAGTTGAATTACATAAGGTAATGAATACCAAATTATGATTACATCTATTTTGTCAACTCGTATCGCTGTAACAAAACATGCTGTATTTTAAAGGGAAAACACTCTTTAGAGTTGAATTTGAGCAAATAGGACAAATAATATTGACTGTGATAAACTACAAAATAATTACAACAACTTATTTTAATTGTTTGACAGCTCTACTAAAAACAAAAATGTATAGAGGATATTTAGTGCAGCACAAAGCCAAGCTAATGTAAAAACTGGATGATTTTATAATAAGATTGCCCATTACAGATGAGATCCAGTGAGGGGAAGAAAAACTACTCAAACCCAGGAATGCAGTAATAGGAATTTGTTAATGAAAAATACTGCTTAACAGTATTAACAGGGCATTTAATCATTCACTATGAAGGAGATCGATATGGAGGGTTTAGAGGGTTGCTATAAGGTTGTAGAGAGGATAGAGGAGGTGGAAATAATAAACCAAAATAAAGGCCTAATACACAGTGAGACACCTTGTCCTCTCCTTGCTGGAAATAAAGAGCATCAGTAAAAGCAAATGGCCCCGGCCTACGTGTTGCGAGTAGAACACTGGCCATTATGGTGCCATAAAAACAAACTGCAGTCTCCAAAACCCAGCAGTGGACTAGTCCGGTTGGTGCTTGAGATGATTTAGTTTGGACACATCATGTCGAGCTGCACCGCTGCCTCGCTAAACGCCCTTTCATTCGGGATCTGTCCTGTGTGACGCTGATCCACGATTTTGCTATCTGCCTCAAAGTGACAGCCAGTCATTCTCTGCCGCAGGTCCAGCACTTCAGTGTGACGAGTCTGACAGCTTAAACCAGCCGGAGCCTCAGCTCAACAACGCACAGGCCATTCCTGCAATCTCATTCTCACACTGAACTAGGGGTGGGCAATGTGGTATCATCACTGTGATAAATTATGCCACATATGCTTTCTTGAATACATCAAGGTCAGTACTTCTTGATTACAGAACAAGCGGATCAAAAAAGGAAAGGTTTAGACCAATTAGAGAGAGACGATGACGACAATAACAACAACAAATAATTAACTGTATAAACTGCATGGTAACAAGTAGCTGACTGGATCTTAGTCCATTCTGCCATCATCTTAATTTACTCATTTAATTTTGCCAAAGGTTACATCTTTCCTCCTTTATATGGTCAAACACTGAAAAAAAAAAAAAACATCTGTCCATTCTAACTGGTTTGCAAAAGTCAGAAATTCTGAATCTCACGACACATATAATGTGTCTGATGTCCTACAGCGTAACTGAATACTCTATTAACCTTTCCTGTACTACTGAAACCACTATCTGAGTGTCTATTGCATCATGGAAAACCAGGAAGAACCAGAAAGGACTGCAAAGTTTTGCTTGCATTTCCTGCTGCTACTATGAACTTACCAGTTGTTGCTGTATCTTAACAACAGAACGTTATCACGAACACGCTACCAAGGACCTGCTGTTGAGGACACGACTGACAAGCCCAAAGTAGTGCTAACTAGGTTAACCACTCTTGCTGGCATAAACTAGAACCAAACACAACTTAAAGACATTGCTCTGTTCTCGACAGCCCTATACGGATGGGATTTAATTAACATGGGGTTTTGATGCAAATTCCTCTTTTGTAACTGCTCCTCAGTGATTTTACTGCCATCCGGGTCGGCCAGCTTGGTGTTTTTCTTTCTCCTCCCATGAGAAAATTACAGGCCGAATTACCTACTGTTTTTCGTCAAACTCGGCACCGTTCTGATAATTTTAATCTCGTCTGGATACACATCTCTGTGTTTTTCCAGGTAGATGTTACCTCATGCAGGAAAAATTACATTTTTGACGGCCGCTACTTACAGTATTTGGTCTCTTGAAGGCTTTCTAAATTGCAAAAAAGAAAATTGCTTTTGAAGAAACCATTTTCTTGGTCTGAGTGGTAAAACTTCGACTCCATGTGCTGGGAGAGCACTATTAGGAGGAGAAAGAAAAACATCTGAGAGAAAAGCTCCTGCAGCTTCGTTAAAAGGGAACATTTACTGGCAGCTGCAGGTATAAAGCACAACTTTATATTCACATATGCAAAATATTTTTTTGTAAAGTTGTTTTAAATGTTCTCTAGAAATAATGACTAGTAGCATCACTGTCAGTTAGACCTAGGCTAAATGTTAAACTCTGATAAACTAAAATACAACCCACTAGAAACTGGTCATTTTATTGCTGTCCAGATCCAAGAGTTTTATGACTGATAAAATATGTAAAAACTTTTATACATCCCACTATTAAATTAATCCAATCTGAATAGGGTTAATGTTTCCTTGATAAACTAACAAATGAGTACATCATCCACTGTGGAGAAAAAAACCTATGTTGAAGCCCACAAGTGATCTCTGGTTAGCTCTAGTGTTAATGGCAGCTTATCTTAAGGGGCTGCCTCCGTTACTCAAGCCTGACACAAAAACCTACTAGTTTAACCTGCAGTGACCAAAAGCACATATCTGCCTGCTGCTAAATGTTCCAATGTACTACTGACTGTACTGGCCTGCTAGCAGCAGTGCGCCAGTTTAACCTGTCTGTGTATTATGATGTTAATATCAGCTGACGAATGACAACAAGCCTGGACATTCAGTCAAGTTCTCAACTTTTACTGAGGAAGCGGTGGAAGAAGCATGTTCTTCCAGAAACACAAGCACTGAATGCTCATTTATGCTAATTCACGTACAACACAAACCAAACTTCAAAATTACCCCATTAGAGTGTTAATTTGTGTTCAAAACACATTTCGCAATAAAATAGTATTTAAAACCATCACCAGGCAAAAACTCTACAGCAGTGGCATGACTTGGGACATTTCTGACATACTTACACTGCACTCAATGGAAAATACAACAACAACAAAGTGTTGTGCAGTTTAACAGAGCCTCCTCATTACCATTAAGAACCACAGGCTGAAATGATTTATTTGACTAATGGTGCAAGTCACTTCAGGCAGTTCAATGAGAAAAAAACTGTAAAATCAATAGGTACTGTAATCTAATATATGAAACTCTTTTGCATATGCTCTCAAACAACAATGACAAAAGCCGTCTGACAGCATTTAACTCGGCAGACAAAATGTATGTGATACGTAATGCTTTACTCAGCCTAGGGGAACCTCCTTGGGGGGAGGATTATAGTTTTCTTCTACTGCATGGTGAACTTTGTTATGGCCATGCAAAAAGTCTTTTTTTAGGTTGCTGTAAACTAAAAACCATTACCATTAGCATTGCACACTACTGGCAAATTCTACCATTAGAATTTGATGCACAATACACTTTAAATATTCATTATATGCTGCACTCTGTAGGGATTACAAAATGCTACAACAGAAACTTTCCTTATAATGAGAACAGCTCTTGCATTTTACAGTGAATTTTCAGGCTTAGGCTACATAGTATGAGCTGTATAACTCAAGGTGTTTAACTGTTTGGTCTCCAACGAGCCTGACTTTATGGGTTTTGGCAGAAGAAACATTAAACATTTAGGGTCCCAGACAGGATTTAAGCCTAGTCCTAAATTACACAGCATCACAAAGACCAACAACTCATTTGTTAGAAATCCATGGACTGATCAATACACAGATGCCAAAAGTTTACAGTCAAGAGAATAATTTTGGTACTAGTGAGACAGATGTATGTTAGAATATACATGCAGGTCTCATACCGCTCTTACTCTTCAAGTCTCCTTCACTTACTTTAATAATCAGTCCAGAACCAGACAAGCAAGTAAACAAGTCACCTAGAAATGTACCAAAAAGCTCAGCACTTTTTCTTTTCCAATACTGAAACACTGAAATCCTTAAAAGTGGCTGTTTTTAATTAAAGTAATTCAAGAAGCTCATCTACAAGTGCTATGTTCAACCTGCACAAGCAAACACTCTACAAATTTGCAGGAATGAATCTACAGACA